GGTTCCTTCTGCGTTAGTCTGTTTCGGTTGTGTTTTTAGCTTGGTTCGCTTAGGTGACCCTCTAGAATAGATTTTATTTTCTTTTAGGCGAATAGAGACCATATATTATGTGCTTTATAAGTCTCCAACCATTACCATTACCATATATAATGTCATGAGAAAGATGCAGTGGCGTATTCAGGGGCTAGGACACAGGTGGGCAAAGTGCGACCTGACAGTGATTTTTTTGCAGCCTGCAAAAATGAAATAAAAACCCTATTTATGCGGCCTGCCAAACATCTTTTACTACAAAACACCTTGTTTGACACAGCTTATCTGTTAAAACTGAGAATAAAGTTGTTTAAAAGTAGTGGTTTTTGGAAGCACACTGTAAACATCAAAGTTTTGTTGCGGCCTTCGGTGTTAAATCAAAATATCACTTTGGCCCTCCGATTTTTATGCCCCCTTGGCTAGGAACCCCCTATCAATGGCAGCAATCAAAACCTGACTGTAGCCCTTTTGACCCCACAATTACAAACATTCCTAAACCTCCCCCTATTGATCATAGGTTCCCAAGAGTAGATCCATTGGTGGAGGAGGAAAACAGGGAATAGGGTACCTTCCGCCCCCCCCCCCCCAAAATAAAAAAGAAAAATAAATAAAAAAAGAGAAGAACAGAAAGGGGGTAGAGGGGAACAAAGTACTCCAAAACAAGCTAATTTTGTATTTAACTTCCATGTACCAGTCAGTGGCGGTTCCACAAATTTGAAATAAAGGAGGCACAGGAGGGACTTTCACAGCTGGAGGGTCTAGACCCACCTCAGTATATTGTAAGATTTTGGCACCTCTAGATGGCTGGAATTGGCACTCCCAGACTTTTTTGAATAATTTTGAGGGCCCTGGGCCAGCTTGTCCTCCCTTTTAGACTGCCACTGCCAGTGTCTATTTAAAGCAGTTCATGTACAATATCTCATGTACAATGATGCTCTTTATATGAGGCGCCAAGTGTAAATTTGAAAGATTTGATATGATCAGGAAAACAACTACTTTTTAACAGCAGTAGCAATTTGTTTTATTTATGAATAGCATGCACTTTTTTGTTTGCATAAAGTATAAGATATTTTATTTCATTTTGTAATATGCCAAGAAAATGAACTCATCCTTTCAAGATGTGGTACGGATTGGTTTCAATTATAAGGGAAGATATGATGCATTTTTATTATAATTAGGAGTATTATTGGGCACTAAAAATTGAATGTGGTTTTTCTTTTTGTGTGAAGTAATGTACAGGCTATTAAATAGCTTCATTTAAGTTCCACATTAACATATATACTTTTTGATCTATTTCCGCTGTAAATAAAAAGCGTTCACAGTCTGTGTCCACTGAAGGTAGTGCTCCATCTGATACACCACCAAAATCTAAGAAAGGCAATGCACAGCGATGTACTACTGCTGGTGAATCACCTAGGTCGTCACCCAGACCATCTCCTAAACCATCTCCAAGACCATCACCAAGCCCATCACCATCAATCAGTCCCTCTAAGGTAACGTCATGCCTTCCTATGGAGCTTATTATCAGTTTATGTTTATGTCTGTTCATATCTTCTGAATAGCTGTACGACACTTCTTTTTGCCTGCTGCTAATAAATTCAATTATTAATTTTCTTTCAGTTTAACAGTTGATAAGACCCCAGGTCTTTTTTTTTGCTATTAATCAAGCTTTGGATCCTGTTTTAATACTAGATACTATTTCTGCAACAGGCCGAACTTCACATTATATCCACAGTAGCCATTAATATTTAAATTATTCTTCTCAATCAAGCGATTAGTCAGGTTGTTCACACACAATAAGTACCTACAATGTTGATATCATATATTGAGAATACAAATGTTTTAATGGTCAGATTGCTTTTCTATTACATTTGCAATATACAGTACTATTATTTGTATTATAATTGTAATGGGATTCTCTGTTTTGTTTTTTTTAAATTAATAATTTACAGAGAAAATTTTTTGGTCAACTTTGTCACCAGCTGACCTATTATTTATTCGATTTCACCCATGTCTTATTAACACTTTGTCACTACAGTGCATAGTCAGGATCCTACCAATATAGCCAGACCTTCTGATAGTTGTGGTAAAAGTTGTTATAAATTTTACTAGCGCATAGCTAATGGCTTCTGGACAATTGCTGCATGTATTTTACCTCCTCGCTGGGATATAAACATCATACTTTAAACTTCGGTGGGTCCTCTATATTCATGTATCCTTTCACCTTTTGGAGACTGCGTAGCCACCAAGCGCCTTAGAGCATAGAGCCAGACCATATTCAATCTGAGCAAGGCAGTGGTCAACATTATAGTAGCAGTATGATGGAATTGCATTTTTTTTAATTGTAGCAATTCAAAGATGAATCAGGTCATGTTCCAATATGGAGGCAACAAGAGATAGAGAGCCGTCAATATCAAGCCCTCTGCAATCTTTATCACGAAGTAGAAGAAGGCATCACTGGCTGTCTGCACCCAGTCTTCAAAGAAACTGCCATTGATTGGCTGGAATTTGAGCACAGTCTAGGTAGAACATGCTTTCTTATTTGAGAACATTTTTAATAATTTGGCAATTCAAAATATTTGCTACAGGTTGAATTTAATGTAAAAAATGTAATATCTGCTGATTTGGAATTATGATATGCCCATTACTTTGAAAGAACTGTCCGTATTTCCAACAAGAGTAGGGAATTATTTTCCATATACCTGTATGTGGCAAAGACAAGCCAGTCACTCGTCGCAAATCCTGTTTCAGAGATAATGGCCAAACTTGCTGGAATGTCAACATTTTGAAATCTATTTTATTACACTAAACTAAACTTTATTTACCTATATGTCAAGTTATGCTGTTTTTTCCCCATTTTCAATGTTAAGACAACAATTTTGAACGATTTGGTGTTGGTTTCTGCCTGAGAAATGTGCGAAATCATAAACTTTAAAGGTTGATTTCTCAAATATTGTTCTTTAAACAGCTGTTTGTTTATGTAGCTTCATACAAAATCTCGGATTTAAATGATTCTTTTACCTTTTTATAGCTCTGATTTTACAGTTTAACCCAGTATTAATAAGTAAAAATCAGTTTTTGTGACGACTGACTGGTTTGGCTTGCCTTTCCACATATAGACCAATCAAAATCATTAAAGGTATATAATTGTAAGATTCCAAATTTAATCCAGGAATAAGTAATGATTATACTTGACATTGAAGATATGAACTTATTTGCAATAAATTAATACCTGACCATTGATTTTGATATTACACAGGTGTTCCTGCTGTGCATAGGCAGAAATTGAATTTGTCGTCAAGGTTTGCTGTGCAAACTGTGTTGCACGAGTTCCTCCAATTCCTTTACACTAACAATGGAGACAGTGTCTATAAACTTTATAAAAAAAAGGGTGAAGAATTCAATCTGCTGAATACTGAAAAGGTCAATGGCTCTTCTAAAACCAAGGTTGGTAAAGAAATTTCTCAGCTATGTTGTGTAGCGTGCTGTAGCAATATTGTAGTAATTTTTTGAAAAAGATTTTATTTTATGAAAATGAGGCTCTAGTTGCCGGAACATTTTTATTGATATTATTGTATTTGTCCACATTGAATCTTGATTTTTAAGGATGGGAAGCCCTTGGAAAGTGGTATGGAATGTGAGGAAAACCAGTTGCCATGCCATGTAGATGACTACATGCTGATTGGTCGAAATATAAAGCAATGGCGTAGTAGTATGCTATACAATACTGAGGAAGCTCTGAGTATGCCAAGTCTCATAAACTCTAGAAGTAAGTTATGGTAATGTGTCAGTTACTTGTATGGTATTCTTGTTGCCACTCCTGCTAATCAGTTTTTATTTTATGCAAGTAAAATTTTTAACTTTGCATTTTATGTTATCGGTACAGTTTGATTGGAAGTTATTAAAGGGGAGGGGGGCTCCTGGTTTAAAATTTGTATTAAAATATATATGGAACAATCAGTTTGCACCTTGCTGTTGATTTTCACAGGTGTTTGGAGTGAACGGGGAAAATAAACATAGTACAATGCGAGAGAAATAACTTTGCTGTCGTTTCTAAATAGACTTTGTTTCTGAATTGGTATGGTGTGTAAATGTTAAAGATGTATTTTCCCTTGCTAAATACCAAAAAATTCATAAAAATATTTTTTGAAATTAACTTGCCCATTTTAAAGTAACATAAAAGTTATCAACTTGAACATAGAAATTAGTGTGTTTAAAAAATGTCTACCCATCAGTTTACAGCGAAAAATGATAGAAACACTTCCAGTTTTATTATTTTTATTATAATTTTTTGGTTTAAAAATCAGGGTACACATTTTTTAAATTCAATAATTTGTATGCACAAGTTAATAATTTGTATGCTATTGCAATATGAACAAGTTTATTTCAAAATTATTTTTTTATGATTTTTTGATGTTAGCAAGGGGCAATACATCTTTAAAAAGGCTGGAGAGAAAGGCTGTACATGCCTTTCTCTCCTGTATATGTTTGAGCAAAGTGGAATTCCAGCTTACAAATTAAGATGGTTAAGGTTTGAATGCACAGCCATTATCAGCAGCACCATCACACACAAAGGCCCCAGCCTTGACCTATCTGGCTATTTGGCATAGCAGAATATTCAGCTAAGCTAGAGGAGAGCAGAATGTGTAGCAGTTGTGATGGATGAGGCTGTGCCCTAGGAGGCCCTGCTTATAGTTAGTATACTATTGTACCTTAAACAGGAAACATTATCGTGTTGTTTTGATTGTAAATATTATTTGAATTTTGAACATGCAACACTTTAAATAAAAAGACTATAATGAGGTTGCTATGTAGTTAAATCCTTGAATTATTTTGTATAGCTCACAAGAGTGTTCAGAAGTTTGATCCATTGATTACAAGTTCGTTCAAACCAAAAGAGCTTTGTCTCAACATCCCTAAAGATAGCAGTTACCAGAAACAGATAGAGGCATACTCCATACCAAGACAGCGACTATTACTGATGCAAGTCAAAGATACAGAGGTAGGAGGCTTGATTTGCTGGAGGGGTGAAGATGTGATGGCAGGTTGCTAGGCAGGATAATTTGAATAAAGTGTGTAAACATGGGTAAAAGTGATGAGAAATAGACGTGATGATGATTGGTTAGGGTGAGAGAGGTGTGTGAGTTAAGAGAGGCAGATATGTAGGTGGCTTTCAACCAGGATTTTTGGCTATGATAATGAATGACAAAAATATTTATATTTTTTGTTGATACTCTAATAACCATTGATGCATTTTCTTACATCCAAAGTTGACTCTGTATACCTATAACTGGTCAGTAGAAAATGTGAATCAATTAGAGAAGACTCTCTTTCGTCTTATTCGCTGGCATAACTCACGCTCCAGTCTTCTTAACAGTATCATCTATCAAAAAATGGGGCTCTTTCATTTAAAAAAAATGGTACAGCCTTCAAACGGACAGGTGAGTTGTAAAACCTTGGCATTACCGTATATACTGTATTCTTGCTGAAACAGACAACAAACTGGATACAGTATTTGCCAATTTGCATATCGTTAAAGAGATGCTGTTTCATATTTATTACATAACATTTTTAATCATGCTTATGCTAGAATATTGTTTTTAGACTTTTCATCTGCTTTTAACACAATGCAACCTCATTAGAATATTTTAGATATTCTTAAATGCATTATCACCAATTTAATTTTCCTTGTATACAACTGATTTTACTGTATAGTAGATGCTGATTAATTGACAAGATGTGCTGATGACACTTTGTAGTAGAGCTTGTTAAAAATAATAATATCAGAGTTTTTAATACCATGATAATGTTAATTATTTTTTAACTTGGTGCTCAAACAACAATTGAAAACCATTTAAAAGAAGTAATCATTGATTTCAGAAAAGCAGAACATCACACACGGAAGTGACAATAATTAGTGAATTAAGTGGTAGAGGTTGTTAAGAATCACAAATACTTAATCATATCAATAGTAAATTAGACCAGAAGGAGAATACAAAACAGATCACTAGCTAATGCTATCAGAGGCTTTACTTTAAGGATGAAGAAAGTTCATAGTGCTATTTTACGAATGAGTTATTTTATGTGTTTTTAACTTTTTGTGCAATAGCCTAGTTTAATAATGTATAGTTAAGTCAACTCAACAGGAAAAAATAAATAGAATCAGAAAAAATGCAAAGAGAGTAGTTGGAATGAATATTAAACAGGTTGATTTTGTAGTTAGCATGGCAATTAACAATAAATTTAAACTAATCTTATAAGACAAAAATTATCCCCTTATTCAATATATTAAAATTAGCAGAACAGGTTGCATAATGTAGCACATCCACAATGGAACACAGAAAGAATTATAAAATCCTCCTTCCATCAATTTATTGAAATGTGGAAGAGGTAAATTTTATTGATATTATTTTAAAAATGACCAAATGCTGCTTTTAATATTTTAACTGCTTTTAATGTTTAATTTTTTAAACTCCTTATATTTTAACATGCTTGTAACTAAATTTTAAGATTTTATCAAATAGTTGTAATCAGTGCAGTTGCTGTATCTCGGTATTTATTAACATATTCTAGACAATTTAATGCAATGTTATGCATATATTATAAACCAAAGCATATTTATATCACCAATAAATAACTCTTGAATATTGGATATAATAGTTTTGTTTAATTTTACTCTAATAAGATAGTATTATACTCCGAGTATCGAAATGCACATCATCGTGTCAGGATTGAATCCTGACACGATGATGTGCATTTTGATGCTTGGAGTATGTATTATACTATCTTATCTGAGATTAATCAGTGGACCTTTCAGTTTTACTCTAATATGTTTGCCCCTTAAACTACTAAAATCTGTTACTACTGTACTGTATATAATTTCTCCCTCTGAATTAAAAGAAACTTCTAACTGTTTTCACTGATTTTAATCAACAGATTTAGCAAAGATTATATATCACAATTTTGGCCTGATTTATTTTGTAGAGAAATTTATTCCCACATTCAACCCCAGCAGAGATTGATGAACTAGTGCGAAACAGTACACCCCCAAGACGAGACCCCGATACACGCCAATACAACCTTCATGGGGTAAACCGTGCTAGCCTTCCTGGTTTACCCTCCTTAAATGAGGTGTTCCGTAATGCTAGGGTTAGGAAAGCGATGCAGTATTGTACATATGGCACAAAGAAAGACCCTTTGGTACAACATGGCTCACAACTACAAGATGTCTACCATATTGCTAAAAAAGGTAAATTGAAACAGTGTGAGAAGGTTTAAAATATTTATAATGAATTTTTTAGCTGAAAAAGTATAAAAAGTATGGAAAGTAGAGCTATAATAATAAGTATACTTCATTTTTATTCTACAGAAGCAGAGAAACAGTTTAAACTTCAACGTTTATATCTTGAGTGGCAAAAGCGCCTTCCCCAGCCGATTTCTGTAAGTTGTATTTTATGTTCAATTCTATTTCAAATGACAATACATTTTTAAATGTCATGTTAGAAAGTTTACAACTATTAAAGTTTAACATTAATCAATCATTATTTAATACATTAAAATAACAATTTTCCTGTAGAATGAAATGTTGGGGCTGTTAAAGAAGAACTCACGTCTTATCCACTACTGTTGTACTCCATTGCTGTTCAGCCCAGTTTGGAGACAATTAGTGATGAATAGTGAAAGCCAAGTAATGGCACAGACCCAGCCCAAGTCAGAGGAACCATGGCATATTGAGCTTAGATCATCATATGTTACTCAGTATATTACGTACTTACAGAGATGCCTAGGATTTTTCCAGATTCAAACCATTGATGCTTCTCCAAGGAAGAGGTAACAGTAGTTCTGACTATCAGAATTGCATCTTCACATTGCCACAGCGTCATTGCAATCCGAGATATGCCATCACCATTTAACCTAGTTATCATTATCGTTTTAATTCTTGTTATTGTCATATGGAAAACATCACCACTATCATCTGTCTTCAAAATATTATCCTCCAAAATTTAGATAGGCAATCATAAAATATAAAAAATTTACATTAATATTATCAGTTTTCAGAAACTTCTTCCCAGACCATTGAAATAGTGAAGTAATGCCTAGCTTTTGAAATCTTTTTATTTATTTATTTATTTAAACAATTAATTGATTTCAATCTACAGTGGGCAGAGGTTTGCCAGCAGACGTTCAAGTAATTTTTATTCAGTGGCCTTCCTGAGGAAAGTGGTGCCTGGAGGCATTATTTTACTACAACTTGCTTTTGAGGTACTGGTGAACATTTTGTAATTCTGTAATACACTTTAACTTGGATGATCCAATAAAATTTGTTAATATCATTTTATGCCAATTCTTCTTTCAAATGATGTCTGTTCACTGCCTTTATAAATGGTAACATTGAGTGATACAGTGTTTCTGTTAATACTGCCGACAAACACATATTATAAAAATCTAAAATTATAAGTAAAAAATGTAATTGCTCGTTTTAAAATAACCCAGAAAATTATCGCTTTCAATAAGTTACTGACTTTAAAAACTTTTGTTTTCAATAATTTGCAGACCTTCTACTAGTAAAATCCTTAAATTTGCTGTCAGTAATTCAGTGACAGTTTATACAAAGATTATCACGAATAAAATTTCCTGCACGATTAAAGATCATAGTGGTACTTTAATGGATTGGTGTACAGGAGTTTGTGCTACAAACAGGTCAATCCATTCTTAGAAGAAGCATTTTGATGAAGAAAAGAGATCCAGAGTGTCTTTGAATTGTACCGAAAGTTATATAAATAATGATAATAACTCAGTATTATATTTTACGTGTTTGTATTAATTTTGAGCACTAATCATCAGAGGTCAAACGCCAAGCCTATCATGTTTCATAATTCAACATCTAATCTACTTTGATTGTGTTAGTTCGTGATGTGATCGACGAATATATTATTTACTGATTTAGATATGATTATACTACTAAAATAATGAAATTGATTACCACAGAAACTGGTTTTTTTTTTACACTTAAATTGAAAGCTAATATTTTATTTAAATTCTAAAAGTACAGTTCTCAATTTTTCAATAAAAAAAAAAGCAGAGGTTGTATCTTCAGTGCTCTATGTAATTTTAAAATTGTTAATTGCACACTGTGTATTGGATTGTGAAAGAATGTTTTTATAAATTAGTAGCTTTCAATGATCACTACTAAAGCAGGCAAGTAACTAGGATTTTTTTTTTGGGGGGGGGTTCAAATTTGGAAAAAGTGGAGCTCTTTGAAGATGTTAACGACCAACCAATTGCGCTGACCACATAAATAAGAGTTCCATCTTGAAACTTGTATTAAAAGTTGCTACTGTCTATAAAGATTATTTGAACAGGATTGTTTAAGCAATCTTCTTTCGAGATTTTTTTTTTTTTTGCCATCCAAGCGGAGCCAGCTAGCAAACGGCTGGGTTCGTCCGAACCCCCCCTGGTTACGGGCCTGTAAAGTTGCATTGCACAGTAAGTCTGTTACTTTCCCAGCATGTGCTCCTGTTTATACATCTGGTGGAATCAAGCATAGATAAAGTGTCTGGCCTAAGAACACAAGTGAATTCAAGGTGAGGGTTTCAAACCCCCAAACTTAAGGTTTGAAATCCAATTTACAACCATAGCATGTTCTCTGCTAATGGCATAAATCAAACATATAAGATTACGAATAAATCTATTTGCTTTTTCATAGGATGCATACTTTTGTGTGATGCTTTATGCCTTTGAAAGTTCACGATTACCAGCTGGCCAAGAAGTCAACTCACAGGTTCGTCTATGTTGTGTATCTTTCTCGAACTAAAATACAATATATTCCAATGCCGGCACTGCTTGCAAAACTCAATTAAATGCTGTGAGTTTTATATATCATTTTAATTTTTAATTTTTTATATTAATATGTTTGTTTGATAATCTTGGTTTCTATCCTGGTTTTAAACAAGGTAAATAAAATATTAAATTTAGACTATGTTGCTAAACCAAAACAGGGCTCTAAAGTCCCCTGGATTGCCCTGGAGTACCCAGGAATTTTGGTTCATCTCCCAGTCTGATGGAAATTTCACATTTTCTCAATTATGGCTTATGCATTAAATATGGCAGATATAAGACTCATTGAACACTCTAGCCAGCAGTATGGTATTAACAGTGACCTAAACCTGCCCAAGCCCATTTGTTTTTATATTGAACAAGGCAATAAATTTATATACACATGTCCTTGTTCATGCGTTTTAGCTAGTACATGCGTCGCAAACCTATGCCTGTCCTGCACGACAAAATGTCCAGGAATTTGACTTTCACAACATGGGACCCCTGCCAAAAGTATTGATTTGCTCACAATTATTGCACTGAAAAGCAGTGTACATGTCATCAAATAGATGCAGCATACAAGCCAGCACCAAAAAATAGAAAGTGTATTCAATAATTACTGTATAATGATTATAGCATCGATTGTTTTATGATTTTGTTGGTTTTTTTTCAGTTGTCTATGTTGTTTACGGATGAAGTAAATAAATTAAAGGACACAATCCACCTACACTCATTTACATATGACTTCCATTTAAGGAAGATTCAGTCATGCATATCACCTGCAAGTAGGATTATCTTCAAGTCAGATTATCATGTCACCAGCTTCTTAGACGACTTCATAAAATATTTTGAAGTTCTTCCAAACTTTTCTCGCAATGAGATATTCAAAGGTAAATCTTTTTTATCTTACAAAGTAAAGCAATATGAAAATTGTGGTAAACAATACTTTTTTGTCTGTATTAATTCTCTCACAACCTTTATATTATTGTGGCAACAGGAACCGAGGAGTTTAAAAGTGAAAGCACAGCAGCTAGTCTGTATCATTACATTGTAGACCAATGCAACTCTCACCATATGTCAAGACTACGTATGCTAAAGGTTGGCTCAAAAGAAGGCAATGATGAACATGAATTTGCCATATTTAGTTTCTACCAGAGAAAATTGCCAAGATCGTCAATGGACATGACATCAGATGAATATGATGTAAGCCTCATTGTGGATCGTGAGCGAGAAGAACAGATAAAAACCGGTGTTTCAAAGACACTTAGGTTAAAGTATTACGTGATTGTGACCAACAACAAAGAGCTGTTCCCCAAACTGTCAGTAAGCAGTTCACTAGGAAGGCTCCACTTCAGGGATAAACTGCCAAAGGAGACATCACAGAGCTATCACCAAGTCCGTAAGGAGGCTAGTGTAGCCAAAGATAAGATCATGAAAATGGTAAAACAGGGGGCTTATAATTCACGTCGTGACTTTCTCTGGAAATTGTTGCCTTCTGGCGAGAAGATGGAAGAAGAGACTACTGTCAGAAAAAAGAGGAGAGAGACTGTGGAAGATGAAAGCAGAAAAGGACGAAGGAGAGATACAGTCGAGGAGGATGCAAAGATGGTGAGTAATTTATTCATATTTTCCTTTTTGTCAGAGTTCTAGGGTACTTCTGCTACGGATAATTATGGACGTATGGAAAAATAATACACGTTTGGCTTGATGTGTTCCAGGAAATCGCGGACTGACAAAATACTGTCAAATCCCAAAAAAGTGTGACACATATGGCTACTTCATCCTGTCAGGGTTTTGACATCCTACAACTGTTAGTAGGCTATATTTCTGTAACTTTACAAATCATTAGGTGCTACGAAAATGTTCTTGCTGAATCGTATTTTACCTAGTTGATAACTTTGCTACTATAAGCAGTTTCAATAGGTATGTGATTTTTTTTCAAATTGCGACATGAAAATATTAAATAGAGAAAAAGAAATACACAATGATAAAAAACAATATTTGAAAGAAATGTAAATGTAATGTATATTGGAACACTAGTATTTAATTCATTTCGTAGATTAAATCTTACTAGACATAAGATAGTATAATATAGAAAAGTTTGTCTTGCTAATTATTTTTGAAGGTGGTACAATTGCAATTTAATGAGTTGGCATTTTTGAATGGACACATTTTATAATAGAAATGAACCACCCTAGTTGAACACTTGAAAGTCATTAGAGGTAATTGTTATCTTACATTGAGTTCACTTTTAATGAAAGCAAAATCCTAACATTAATCAGACGCAGCAGCTATAATAAAAAAGAAGGATGTGTTGGAAAAGTATTTGGTATGACCGATGACTCCAATACTCTTTGATACGTATCATGCACTATTGCAGTTTGAATTGGTAAAATAAAATCTTATAGGTTGATTGTTAAATATTTACTCTTGTTTTTTTTTGTTTTTTTGACATTACATGTTTCTTAAAATATTAAGTTACCATTGTCTCTTTTATTTCTCTACTTTTAACGTCCCCTTTAGCATGATTGATGTTCGTTTTCTTTTTCTGTGCTTGTTTTTCAATCTTGTAATCATGTTTCTCATTGTATTCTAAATATTTTTCTTGACGAATTAGATAGTATGATATGTAGTTTCACCTTTTTTGCAGCTTTGTGAACTAGTGGTTGCATGGATCTCTGTCTGCTTCAATACTAAATAAAGGATTTAAATTTTTTTTTGTGCAATTTCAAATATAATGGAAATTGTGGCTGGACACGCAAGACTCACAGCAGCCGCAGTGCAGTGGCAGTACCAACATGTAACAGACACATTTTTTTGCCAAACTTGAAGTTAAAGTGAGAATATCAATTTATCATGTGAATCTTTTCAGCAGGAAAAAACACTGAGTTATGCAGAACTCAAAGAGTTACTGGGAATGGTGCACCACAACCCACTAATTGGCATTGACTCTCAACTTAGTAAAATACTGGACATGCCTGTCAGCTGGTTTGAAGTGCTCATGAAAGCTCTACAATGCAAGTTTGCCAAATCATGTAGTTTATTTGCCAGTGATGATCGCAACCAGTTGCATCTAGTGATTCTGAATCCAAACAATCTTGACATGCTTGTCCACATCAGCATTGATAAAGTGGCAAAAAAGTCTGTAAGTCTGAGAAAAATTGACAATTTTGCCCTGTATTGCACTATGAAATCAATTGAGATTAATTAAATAAACAACAAATTTCTAATATTTATATTATTTATATTTGAGTTTTGTAGTACCGTGAAAAAAAAAATACATGTTTTAAATTTTTTTTAAATAAATAAGGGAGTATATACTATATCCAACCAATCACTTCTAGAAATTAATTTTTGTGGTTCTTTTAACAAATTGTGTCAATTTTATATGTTAATGTTTTACAGGAATTAAGTTCTGTGGTTCGAGAGCCTACACATGAGCAGATGCCATACAAACAACCTCAACAGGAGCAAGTGTCTGTGTATAGCACACAGCACATTGAAAATATCGTCAGCTTCATCTGCTACCACTTATGGTCCTGTATTCTCTAGAGTGTTATATGAACACAATTTAGCGATAAAGTAGATAATAGTGGCAATGAACTTACTAGACATAAGATAGTATAATACATACTCCAAGAATAGAAATGCACGCCATCGTGCATTTCAATACTTGAAGTATGTATTATACATTGGCATATTGTACAATATTGCCACAGATCTACGAGAGTAGATAAAAATGTGTTCATGTATTGGGAGATTTTATCATGAGCAAAGGTGCTGAAATTTATTCATTTTACAAGAAAAAGTGCACTTTGTGCTTTATATCTAAACATATTTTCATCTCAAAAACTTTTTGTGACTGCAAAAGAAAACACACGATTGTGCATGTCGACTCGGTGGTTCATTACAAAATGAACCTCACTGCACTTGACGGTCGTTGGCGGACGCGAATCTATGGAGAAAACAATGCAGATCATTTTTAATGACAATCTGTTCAGACTGCCACCGACCGCCGTACAACACAGTGAGTGCCTGGCTGAACGTTCATTTAAGTCCGGTTGATTTAAATCCGGTTCTCATCTCCCTGACCACAATCAAAATTTTAAAACTCAGCAACATCCCCCAACTTAGGCTCACCTTGGTTGCACACAATTTAGAGTGGTTTAAAAATGGACCCAGGCAGGAAAAGGTTGAACCCCTGGGTTTTAAATGTACTTCTTGATAAGCAGGTAAAGTTTTTTTGATATTCCTGTTTTCATTTTCTTTTCTGTGTGTGGTTATCCCAATTAATTTACCTTTACCACTAAAAATGTATAAAACATACAGGAAACTATTGCTTGATTTAATTTTCATTTAAAACAGTATCCAATTCAATATTCAAAAAAAATAAATAAATAAATTTAAAAAAAAAAGAAACGGATTGCACATGATGATTCGGTGCTTCCATTACAACATGAATCTTGGAATTTCTATTAAGGGCTTTGTTGTATCTTTTTCTGATGGATGTGTGAATTTTATTTACTAACTTTTAAAATTGGTCATGTGGCAGTAGGTACTTTATTAAAGTATGAATACTGTATTTTTGTTTGTACTGTATAATAAACAAAACATTTATATTAGAATATTGCAAAGTTCCATATGCTTCTGCAATGGTACAGTACATCATTGTGTGCTATTTTTAAAAAGCACTGAATCTATCCTTGTCATCTTAGTATGTAAAATATAGACCTCTGGCTATCATTTTAAAATGTTGTTTGAATTATTTTGATAAAGATATATCTTTTAGTACTATAGATATTGAATACATATGAAATAAAAAGTTGGTTGAATATACATAACATATCACAGTATCTTTTATTCAAATAGGTTTTTCACATAAAACAGTATATTGCAGAACCAAATCTGAATTACAAAACTGAGTTGGTAAATACAAGTAATCACATCAAAACAGCAGCGATAAAAATGTGCAGCAAAATATGATGACAATATTAGTAATAAGAATAGTAATAATAATAACATTAATAATAATTCAAGAAAAGAAATCAAAAGAAGAAAATAATAATAATAATAATAAATTGGAGAATTTGTATAGCGCCTGTTAAAAAAATAATTTTTTGTCACTGGTGCTTAAAGATAAAAGAGTTATTGATTAAAGAGATAGGTTTTAAGGAGGGTCTTGAATGCATTAGTATCAGAAGAGGATCTAAAATTAGGTGGAAGAGAGTTCCATAATTTCGGAGCGGCAAAAGAGAAAGACCGTTCGCCAATACGACCATGCAGCAAGGGTGTCACAATGCCATCTCAGTCAAAGCAAGATTATAATGCATGCATATCTGTTAAGTTATTCTTGTTATTTGTTGATCATCATCATTATCATCACCATCATTATCATAATCATCACTTCACAAAAAAAATAGCGATCATCGATTGAATACAATGTATGTTTGTTCGACACTCCTCTCATGGAAATTCAGTTGTCCTCTACGAAAGCAATTTGTCGGATGTGCTATTCACAAATTGAGGGTAAAAGTACAAAGAGGTACTTTGGTCAGTGGCGAATCTAGGAAATTTTGTATGAACATGAGGGGGTGTGAGGAAGCAAAGTGGGGGTGGGAGAAAAAGGTAGCTGGCAAAATAGGTTATTTCCTTTTTTGTTGTTAATTTTAGTGTTGCTTTTATTTTCACTTTGTATTATTTCGGCAAACTTGATTTTAGCAAAGTGTACTCAGCAATCTGTTTTTTTTTTTTTATATATAGAACCATAATTTATACAGCGCCTTTCACAATCTGCAGATTTTACAAGCGATTATGCATGGTGCTGGCATCATTATTTCCCTGGTCACTGGATACTGAATTGGCAGATCCGCACATTGTGCAACTTTCTCTGCTTCCTGGGATCCCTGGTCATTGCTGCTTGAATGCGCATAACCCATACATTCAATGCCATACCATCCTACCAGGTACCCATTTACACGCTTGGGTGGAGAGAGGCAAACATAAGTAAAGTGCCTTTCCCAAGGACACAAGCAATGCAACGAGCTTCGGTTTCAAACTCCCGATCTCACAATCACACACTGCGCCACACGCTCCTACAGCTAAACAGGGTTTCGGCTATCTGGCCAATCCCAATTTATAGGCATATGTGAAGAGTAAAAGATGTTTTCCGGTGTCGTGGGTCCCTGTTATCCAGCAAGATGTCGAGAGGCAGTGTTAACAGTGTGAACTCTCCCTGACAGGGGCCTTGCAAAAAGCATTTTTCACAATTTGGTTTAGTGGGAACTGACGGTTATATGGCATGGTGAGTGGCAAAATGCCGCATTTGTCTTTTAATAAAAGTTATTGTACATGGCTCACTGGTTACGTTTTAGTTTTATTGAAAAAATATTTATCAAATGATTGTTACTTTCAGTTTGTTAATATTTTTTATCTTATTTTTGCTTGCGGCCGCCTATTAAAAACCAGTTCAAGTAGTAATTTAGTAAATTGTTATTAGGGAGTCTCATTCACTCTTTGAATCCACCTGGCTGTGCGCTTTTTACCAAACATGCATGGCCCTGATTGGGATATTTCTTTTTGGTTTGTTGGTTTGAATCAGTTTCTTCCTGGGCTGATTTAACATTTAAAAAAGATTATTTTAAAGTATTTAAAAAAATGCAATTTTAAATGTTTTGGTAGTTTAAAAAGGATTTAAAATCTTGAAAGAGAATTCATATTTGGGGTATGTCGTGGCAAAATGGTTAAGTTGTTGCACAGGCCAGTATTAAATAAATGAGCCATAAAATATGCAAGCTTAAAAAATTGGCTAAGGATCCAAATCAGTTATTTAATGTTATTTTGATAGTTAATTCTATATTAAACAAATAAATAACTTTGGAAGGCAATTACTCAAAATCATGTTTATCTATACTTTCATTTTACCAATAACTTAGGCTTGAAATGTCCAATTTAAAAATGACCCCTCATTTTAAAGATCACATACTTGGGTATCTGAAAATATCAATAATTTCAATTTTTGCTACAACTTAGCCATTTTGCCACACCATGCCTCATTTGGGAGGTTTGTAATTGGAAGTACAAGTACACAAGACATCATGCAAAGAATTTCATTTTTTTTACTGAAAAAAATGCATTTAATGTTCTCCTGATGTTAATGCAAACAGTATTTAAGTATCAATTATGATTTATACATAGAATACACATATTTTAACCTTGCATTAAACATGCTTAATCAGGTAACTTGGGATGCAATCTTTTTCTGACATGAACTGAACTGATTATTTAATAATAATTTACATATAGCTCATATTGCTCAGTGCTTATCTGCACTTTACATTGATTAAATTTATAATTGCTTGAAGCTGACCTCAATTTTTAAAAAATTATGAATATTTTAATGTAGGCATGTACTGATGATTGTTTTTTTCGTGCTGGTGATGTATTATTTATATTGATGATGATATTAACTTTTGGTGTGTCTCTGAAAAGTGGAAAAAAAACATGCACATATTATATACTTCATTCATTCATTCATAATGGTGTATCTATCATTGCAGTAAAATTGAATTTTGGTAATTTTTACAATTATGATTAAAATCTAGAGAATGTAATTTTTACTACATTGAATCTACTCTATATTAATTATGCTTAATTAGGAATAAACTAAACCAAAACAAAATGCAATGGGACATGTGTCAGCGTGGAAGTTGTGTGGTCCCAGATATGGAAAAGCAAGATGATAAACAACTTGTTAAACGATATAATAATAAGCAACTAGTAGAGCTCCACATAGTGCACTAAGTAAATTACTTTACAAAGGTTAGATTTAATGCTTGAAAAAATTTCCTGAGTGTCTGCAAGGCCCGAAGGAAATTTTTGAATGCATTAAATCTAACCTAAGTATAATAATTTTTCGCTAGTGTGCTCTACTAATTGCTTTATAAGTCAATCGCCGTCTTTTATTGTTAGTTTTTACAACCGTGTTGTACCAGAAGAGATAAACATTTTCCAAAGCATTCGAGAGAGAATACAGTCACTGTCACTAACTTTTTGGTTGGTGCAGACAGGTAAAAATCTTGAGATGATCTCATAACTAGGCTAGGCCTAGGCTAGTAATAGGACGAGGCCTTGGCGACCTGCTGTCTGGCCGTAGGCCTACATCTAAAAATATTCCTATTGAATGTTCATTTGTTTATTTTATTAGGGTTCATTGATTCAAGGAAAAGCTTAATTGTTCATTCTTAATATTGAATTTAAAGTAACTTTCTTGGGGTTCTAATTAAGCTTGTTTTACGAAAGAAATTTTCAAATACAATGAAAAAATGAGGATTTTTTTTTGCACACGAACCTAAAAAAAATCAAGCCAAGCGTCCACTAATAAAAAAATTAGTGGACGCTGGGGAATAGGCGGATAACATTGGGAGTTACAGTGATGACGTCACGATTGACTTATAATAATAATTGGTTTCATAAATATAGTAGTGTAGAAGTGGTGTTGACTATTCTTATAATGAATAGCACAATTATTATTATTATTATTATTATTATTAAAACTTTATTTTTACACGGAAAGCTTGTTTCACCCAGTGGGTGTTATTCTAGTTGCAAAATAACAGTATAAAATAAAACTAACACATAATCACAAAAAAAAAGATAAAATTATATACAAATACGAGATACAAAAAATGAAGCAAAGACCAAAAATTTTACAAAAGTGTTTTAAATATTTTAACACTTGAAGCATTTCTAACATGTTCATCCAGTGTGTTCCAGAGAATAGCACCACAGTAAGATAAACTTTTCTTTTTGTATTCCGTGTGAGGACGATCAACTTTTAAGACATCATTTAATCTGGTTAAATAATTTTGTTCCTTAAATGTAAAGCGTTAAATGCAATGCATCATGACTTCTATGCAAATGGCCTATAAAGACTTGGCATGGCCCCAAAGTTGAAAAAAAACCCAGATTTAATATTAGATACATTTTAATATAATGCTGCATAAAATATGCTGCTTCTTACATTTCATTTATTTTATTGGCACAAACGGCCCAGGGGCTGCATTTTAAGTTAACTATCCACATTATAACTTCAAATAGTAAAATAGTAAAAGTATTACAGCATTACACCTCTCAACAACACTAGCATTTTCATTTAGGTAGTCTAATTATTACTTAATATTACTATATAATTCGTATCAATTAAACACAATACCAGCAATTAAGTTGGAGATGGATGCCTACTGCTTTTGAAGACGTTGCTCCCACTGCATAGCTAGCGTACTCTTCCTCCTTACAGGACTACCAGATTCATTTCTTGTCTGAAAGATCAGAAAATCTATCGCATTACTCTTTATTAAAATCATATGAACAAATAATAAAAATCTGTATTATAAAACTTTGGATAAAGTTTAACATGGGTGGATCCAGGGGGGTTCCAAAATGTTGAATTGTTTAAAATCAACACCACTATGGGAGCATGGTTCCCTCATAATGTGTGTGTGGTTGATAAACTAATATTTTCAGTGGTCTTAAATAAAAGTTAACTTTAATGGCAAAGCCTGTTTAGTCCACTCTAAATTTTTGTTACTATATCATATTATGAGAAGTAAAAAAAAGATAAAATAGTAAAGATAAAATTTCACCGAACTACTGTACACGCCATAAAAATAAATTTAAAAAGTGAATAATACAACAGCAAACCTTGTATGAAAGCAGATGTGCAATCTGACTCATAATTGGTGGAATATAAAATGCAGCGGATGAACTAAGCTAAGAAGATTTGGGCATTTACTTCAGGGGAATATATAGGGGCAGAGATCCTACTTTGGTTAGGGGTGAAGGCCCTGTAACTAAATGCAAATTTTGAGAGTCTGTATTGAGCACTGTAAATCACTCATTTTCAATAGTCAACCTCAGTACTATCCATTATCCCAAACATCTGCATCAAATACTTTATTTTTCGCAAAATAGCAAATAAATTAATTAGTAGACTACAACTCCTGACTCAAGGAACATTAAAATTCATGAACACCTCAACCATTCTTGCTGTTCCCCACCAAGGTCTGATACAAAAATAATTTTATGTCAATATTGAACAAAAGACCATCCCAGTAAAATAAACTTTTCAGTTTAATGTTGCCTGTCAACAACAGATATGTCATAATTGTTTGTGCCCTTTGACACTGTTGTCAGATTTTTTATCTAAATTGGTTTCCCAGTATTTTGCATGAGAAGTATGCATACAAATCAAGTAATAAAAGGAAATATTTGTATCTGCTCAAGTCTGACTGGTATGAGATGCCTTTAAGTTCAATCAAGAATAGTTCTTTGCCTGAGATTCCATATTTAAACTCTTCTCGATATTTATTACTATAGAAACAGACCTGCACCTTCATTGCAATACAGTGCATAGTTACAAAACATTCTTGTTTTAAAAAAACTAGTGTCACAGCATACAATGAAAAGGTCAAGAATGTTCCTCATACATTGTATAACATACAGTAGTAATAAAAATGAAATGCAATACTGTTATGGTTGAAAGAGAAAGAGAAATATAAATTCAATTACATTGAAATATTACTGTACATAACACCCCATCACCATAATTAATGTGTGTAAATTAGTACTACTATAAAATATACCATACATTACATAATATAATGAATTAGTGACCACCACCTACAATTACTGTATGTAAACTGACTAAAAATAATATATTATACATAATCTTACCAATGGTTCAGTTATATTCAGTTTCACTAAGAAATCAAATAAAAGTGTTCAATTATTAAAGTGAGCTTATTCGAATTTAAAAAAAAAAAAAATAGATGACATAGACAATAATAATAATCATATAATGATTAAAAAAACATTTAATTTGGCTAATCCTTCCATTGAAGCTAAATATTCCAAACTCTCAATTATACCCTTTGAGATTTCCAAAATAAATAATGATAAAATGTATGAATTTTAATAAATAATATAATGTCATTAAATAATAATAATGCCATGAATAATTAACTAGGTTTTCCCTTATACTATACTTATACTACCATAAGTGAAGTGAATTTAATGTTCGCAATTTTGTAAAATGACTGTTGAAAAAATCTAGTAATTATAAATAATGTAATTATGTAATTAAATATATTCAATAATGCCATGAATAAAACTAGGTTTTCCCTCGATTAGTGTCTATATATGTACATAAGTGAAGTGAATTAAATGTCTGCAATTTTGTAAAATGACTGTTGATATGAAAATTAATGAACATAGAAAAATTGAAGCTACAAACTAACTAATGCAATAATCACAAGAATAAAGCCTTAACAGACTGGAAATGAAACATTCCCTCAAATTTTGAAATAAATAATTTTTTTTTAATTTGGGAACTCTAAAAATGATATAAAAACAACTAAAACATAAGGGAAGAATGAAATATGTTGCTAAATGTAACTGGCCAGTTGGAAACGATTCAATTTCTGTTGATGGAAACAATTCAATTTCTGTTGATTGAATCTGCATAGATTTTTTATACTTCCAACTCCTTATACTGTATGTACAGTGACTGTTAGCAAGACAAAGGATGTATGCAAAGGATATGGGAACAGTATTATTTATTGTTCTACTTTTATTCTATTATTATTTGTTCTACTACTATTCTATTATTAGTAGACTACTGTCTACTAACTTTAGTCAACTAAACTCCTAGGAGTTTGTATTTCATCCAATTTGTCTTGGCAAAAGCAAATCAATGAAATGAATTGAATAGGAAATTCGCACTTACAAATTCTTAAAGTGACCAGTCTAATCAATTAGATGTATCCAAAGACGACCGTTGGGAATTATCTTTCTAGATTCTAGCAATGAGTTTGTGAGGCCACTGGGATTCTTTTACGTTCGGAGGACTGGCCAAAATGACTACAGTATGTAAGTAGTAGCAAATTTTGAGAAGCACTGTACAACACTTTTTTATGTTTTTATCTCTGGTAGATTTTGTGTTTCCTGAACTGCACATGCAGTTAAACCCCATCATGGTTGGGACTGAGGCAAGAAATGGGGGAATGCAGCATAAAAGAAGATGAATTTCTTTATTATGCAGATTGCCAGTGAAGTTTATTTGTATTTGTATTTACCGTATATTCTCACAGATAAGATGAGGCATTTTTCCCTTACTTGAGAATACATGTAGTTCAGGTCATCTTCCAATGGGGATCCAGGGATTCACATTAGAGGGGCACAGTGAGGTGCTTTCACGGATTGAAGGGTCGACCCACCTCAGCCCCGTCGTGGTTGGGACTGAGGTAAGAAATTTTATGGAAGCTCTAGATGGCTGGAAATGGCACTGTTAAACTTCCATTTGAATACATATTTCTGGTGTTATATGCCTAAGCATATGTAAAATTACAAAAACAAATGGAAAAAATCTCAAAAAATTTAATAACAATATTTATTAGCTCATTTAGATAGATTTCTTTTCCATTTATTTTGTTATTTTTGATATAAAATGCAATATTGAAAATGAACACAAAGTGTGACAATTTTGTTGACTAGAAGTGGACCGGTTTGGCAATAGCAAAATCACTTTCTATGTGGCTCCAACCCCCATACAACAATGTACATAATTTATATAAAAAATTGTCATAAAATTTTTTTTTAAACATTTACGATTTAAATTAAATAAGTACTAACTTTCAACCAGAAACAGATCAAAAAGTGGCGGACCGTAGGGTAAAATGTAGGGTATGCTAAGGGTTGCTAGTGGGAACATTCTATAAAGCAAATAATAATAATAATACAAAGCGTATTCATTGGAATAAATGCTCCCTCCTGAGCCATATTTGGGATAAACTCCCCAGGCGTTTATTTTTTCCTTGAATACCAGTATGTGCCCCCTAATGATTGTAAACAAAACTAATGGAAGCAACGTCATTCTCAAAACAATCTATTAATGTTCAACTCAGTAGAATTAGGCATTTTAAAACCTGATTGGGATCAGTAAGTCTTTATGATCACACAACACATTTTGACGGTAATTATGTGTTATTCAAAACAAGGCGTTATTCAAATAAATATGGAATGTTTCTTTTTCACGTATCTACATGAGTTGTAGTTTTTCCTTAAAAGATGTCTTATTCCAGTACGTTAACAAGTTACAATTTAATTTATACAAGTTTCTTCTATACTGGCTGTCTGCATGCAGATTTATTTTAACTTTAATCACTGAAATTCTAAAATGTCAAAAAATACAAATTATCCAATCGGCAGTTGAAGCCCAATTAGGCTAGTAATGTTACAGTAGAGAAGCAGTGAGAAGAGGAGTTTGCACTTATCTCTTAGAAGCACTGCTTCCATACAGGTACCAGTTTTAAATTTGCTACTGTAATGCCACCCCACAGTTAGAAGAATAGCAAATTTAGCCATTGTAAAGATGGTCCCAATTCTATTGACTCACTTCTATTGCAAACCAACCATGCGGAAAGTCTAAGCAGCTGCGTAAACAACGCAATAGGCCCGCTATCCTAGATACCAAAAGGCCTAAAGATTAAAAAATTAATGATATTATTAAACTTGAACATTCCAATGAAATGTAGAAATCAAGTCAAAAAATTAAGGTTGGTTTAGAAGACTTTGGATAAGAAAGTTCACAATAAAATATATTCTTTTGCATTTTGTTGGGTTTGCCTTGACTGTCTGCCACTGGTGGGGAAAGAAAAACATACATTATACCAATTTATTTCCAACCATTATACTGTACAATAAACAAATATGACTTGCCCTTATTTTAAGCATGGTCCTGACATATCAAGCATGGTGCAGATCTAATTTTTTTAACGGCAAGCATGGTGCCAATTTTTCAATTTTTTTGGTTAAATGTAGCAGCTGATGCGAGTACTGTTTAAAATAAGCATAACAGGTCATGATAAAGGTAAAGGTTGTTGTCAAATAAATTGCAGATTAACAACAGAAGGGAATATTAGATGGTTCATAACTGTGAAATGTATTTTCGAATTCTTCATTGGTCTGTTTTTGGCAGCCTATATAATGAGATACAACAGATGTGTTTCTCATTTCAATGTAAGGATGACAGCATTAAAGTTGAGTTCATGACTATATATACTGCAACTACATGTAATGGAATTTTTTTTAAATGATTTAAAATTTAAATATTATAGTTGACCATACTGGTTGCTCTACATTCTGAAGAGTTCAAGAGTGATGAGTAGCAATATAGAATTAATTTCCTGACTGTGAAACAGTGAACAATTTGGTTTGTGATGTAAATTTTATATCCAAGAAAGGGAAGTGAAATTTGTGCTTTATCTGGTTTAGTATGATTGAGGTGCCATATTAGTACTGCATGGAGTTTATGCCCATTCAAATTAAGTCTTCCAGGCTGTAGTATGCGACTGTTGGAATTAAACTGCTGCTCAAAATAAGAGTTTACTACAATTCATTCATATAAGGCTACACTTCAATCAAGCGCAAGAGAAACTTTGTTGTATGGTCCAATTTCTGTAAAAATAATTGTCTGAAGTAGGACCTTAAATATTAATTTTGGAGGACTCTCAACCCTGTGCTTGGGCCTGTTGCCAATACCCAAGTCTCATACAGTATATTCATTACTGTGAGGTCACAGATAATTAATCAGTAAATTATTGCATTAGACCCCTTTCAATGTTTACATTGGCCTGGCTGAAATGCTGCACTACCTTGGTAGGCACATATTCTTTGAGTATATCTAAATTGCACTGGAAATCAGTATACTGGTTATATTTATTTTTTGTTGTGCCAAAGCTACTTGGATGAAATTCATATATGGATAAATAAAATCTTGTGGAAGATTTTGCAGTCCAGAAGTCTGGTGTTTACTTACAGCAGGGTGGTCCCAAGTTAAAAGAAGCCACTTCCAGATCTGCTTAAAATGAGCTTTCTTTAACACATTTTATTTTGCTATGCAACATTAACAATTGACTTCCATGGGATATTTGATAACAAAGTAGTAAAAACCTGCAAATATTTATAAATTGTTGGAGATGGGTTGTTTTTTGGGAGATTCTTGCTTGCTTGTGCGAGTGCATGAGACTGCCCCGATTTACGGGATTCCTGCAACATGGGAGACTTGGGATCCCTGATTCTACCTTTTTATTATATTTTCTGTCAACTTATTACAGATTTGATTCGTACAATAATTACTCTATATTTAATACCCTTGAGAAGGATCGCCGAGAATGATCAAAATATAGAGGTAAATACCCATTACATACCCGATTCAACAAAAATGAACATTCAATTCACTGTGCTTTATCCTCAACAAAATTAATAAAATTATTAGCATTAAAATTAATAGGTTCTACATATAATACATTCTGGATATAACTTTTTTTTAAATAATTATTTGAAGATTCCCTGAAAGGCTGTAAGTGGTGCACATGCCATGACCTTTATTGAGATATCAAGATATAGTGATAGCGCATATCCCTATTTTAACTATATGCCTAGATCAGGAAGTCCAAGGATCGAATTTGGTTAATGTTGAAATGATGATACATCCTTCAAACAACAGATGTAACCATTAAAAACATTAAACCTGCACCTCTCCACATTTTCAAAGTTTTAACATTTCAGAAGTATAAATTTCATTGGTGCTATTTCTCACAAGGGGCAATGTAAAAGGAATAATCAATATCCTTTTATTGCAATCTACAATGTAGTACAAATGTGAAAAGAGTATTTATATTTAAAACCGATGATTTCATGATAAGGGAGTAATTCAACCTTCAACAAAATTTATTGTAAAGGGTAATTTTATCTGAATCATTCCAAACAGATTTTGACAGTTTATGGGAGTTGAGGAACTTACAGGAAATTGGGACAGACAAAAAGAAGTAACATGTCCAGTTTAGCCTTGGTTCTTTCCCCATGGTCATTATTTCCAACCACACTCCCTCGGTAAAACAAGTAACAAGTTTGTAGATCGCATTCAATGGAATGCTCCCGCTTTTGCGTATATACTTTACAGTCAAGGGTCAGAGGTACTGTATGCAGGGTCTTCTTATTTTATTTATCTCGCCCACCAATGCCATTGATAAAATATTTTAATTCATCTCACAATTAAAAAAAAAACAAAACATTAATCTGTTTTACTGAACAGTTTACATCGCCGATACGATCGTGAGCGATAAAGAAAGTGCACGCTCTCAAATGGGATTAGTTTGATGCAGTCAATAGAGTAGGTCTGCGATATGTTTGTGTAATTGTCAAAATCTCGGTCAGAATCATTTTTTTAACAAATTTGTAAAAAATAATTCCAATGAAATATTATATTTCACAAGTGTCAATACTAGCAACGTAAGATAACAGAACCTAAATCCAGGCTAATGTTTCCAGCACCTATTATATTTCTTCGCAAGCCTTTCGCAAAATCAAACAAAACAAATTCATCTGCGTTTATTTTTTGTGTGGAACACTAAACAATCAAATTTCAATTTTTTTTTCATTTTTTCATGTTTAGGAATGTCTAAATTCAGTTAAACTTGCAATTCTGTATTATATTTATAAATCTTTATAACTAGTTTGTTAACTTGACATCTTTATAACATATATAAAAGTCAGATTTTCTGAAATTTTACTGGGAATTGGGCTTGCTACAAACCACACCAAGAAAAAAACAAAAGAAACATTGCATGTTTGTTACCACTTTATCAATAAGGCTTGATAATGTTGTTGCTGACAGTAGGCTATTATGAATCTGGGGCATAAGTAGGACTACAACATGACAATACGTACCAATCAATGTGGGCCTGTGAGCAAATCCTTTAGTATACGGTACCTCCACATTACCAGAAATGCCACTGTCGTACTTTAAAATAGTTTTCTAATAGTCTTTGCGATGTATGTGAACAACCTAAATTTGCTCACCTCTCAAGCCCAACTAAGATATACTATTATATACAAAGACTTTTTTTGTGTTCTGAACACCCTCCCAAACATTTAATGACCACTTGACTATTTACCCACACCCTGAAGGTGCCTGACTACTACCGAGGGGTAGATCCCAGGTTGGGAACTGCAGGGGTCCCAAGTTGGAAGAACCCATCTCCGGGAGATTCCTTTAATGACAATGGGGGCGCTATATATTCTATGAGGAAAAAGTGTAGGTACGAAACGAAGGGTCATGCCCACCTCAGGCCCACCATGATTGGGGCCGAGGTGATGACATTTTTTTAGAATAGGCACCTCAGACTTTAAAAGCCCAGAAATGGCACTGTCAGACTGCAAAAAATAATAGGCAACCATAGTTTAGGCCTAAGTAAAACAAAAAAATTTATTGTTATTGTCATGAAATGCTTGCTTGCGGGAGTGTGGGAGACCATCCAATTTTCGGGAGACTGACAGGAGACTTGGGACTGTGCCTTCAGGAAAAGGTAAATTAGGAAAATCATTACTTAATATTTCTATTTTGCTTTCGTAGATTTTTTTTTCAATTATTTTGATTGATGTGTCTTTAAAATTTACATATTATGTATAATATGTCTGCTTTTTATTCATACAATCACTATTTTATGTTATATACCACATACATAGATTCCAGGGATCTGATTGATTAAAAAGTAGGTACTATCACACATATGACGGGGAAAAAACTATCACGTTAAATGATAATATAATTTTTTGCCCTGTCGCGATGTAATATCCGCTGTGTAATTTATGACACGCACAGATGTAAAAGAGGATGCGACCTCTACGACATGAGAGATTGGCCCTTTTACTGCCTCTAGGCCTAGGAAGCAGGTCTAGCCAAGTCCTACTTTGTGGGTACTATTTTCACGACTTGTTTTGTAATACTAGGCCTTGTATAATCTATGTATGAGGTATATAAAACAAATATTGACTGCTCTAGTTCCAGGGCCAAAGTCCCTTGGGAATAGAAACATTTCACCATTTCCCTCATGAGCAGTCAATATTTGTATTTTATTTTTTATGCATTATGTGCTTTTATATTATTAGATATTACATTTTTAATTCAAATATAATTCATGCCATGTTGTATTATATTTGCTATTGTCTTGCTCTATCTGAGGATGTCAAATGATCAGCTTTAAAAGATAGACAGAATCACTGTAAAACATTTTGAAAATAAATACTGGATAGTATGTGGCCCATGGGCAAGTAATTCCATCTTAAAAGTAGGGGTAATTCCATAGAAATAACTACCATATTTTGTTATGTTTGATATACTGTAATTGTATCTGTCAGTAAATTCTAAATTGCATTAGCATTTGAAAAAAAATATCAATGATAGATGTATATTATGGTTCATAGGGAAAAGGTAAATTGCAAGTGGATCATAGGAGGGGGAACACAATGTGAGACCTCACTTTATTCTTTGAGTCTTTCTAATTTGGTGTAAAGCACCTTGTGCATTTATAATTTATATAGATACCAAATAATTTTTAATAGGATATTATCCCAGCTAATAATTTTACGTTATAAAATAATTTTACAGTTTGGTAACGAAATTTTGCAACTCTGAGTAACATATGGCAACATTGTGCAAAAATTATTTTCTGACATACTGATACTAAAAAACCACAACAATCATGAACACCATTAAAGTTTTCATTCATTCATTAAAGTTTTGTACTTGCTGGGATGTGCCACAGGAAAAAGGGTCATCTGCCCATAGCATAATTAGTACCCCAGGGAACACTACAGGCAGCATGTATCCTAGGGGAGGAGATTGCTCAACTTAATATTTAAAACGATACTGTACATAATATTTATCACTGTACCTGTAGATGCGTTAGACTGTCCGTCACTGGAACACTTCGTCTCTTACTGATTTCTGAATCTGCTTCAGGTTGTGTCACTGCCAACTGGTAGGAGGATTTCGGTCGTGAATTTAGTCGATCATGCTCTTTCTTGATAGCTTCTTCTCGTTCCTTCTGTAGACGTATCTCTTGTTGAATGATCGATTCGTTGACTTGTACTTTTTTCTTTTCTTCTAATGAATAGAATATCCAATTACATTATTACAAATTACATGATTGACATCACCACCACCACAAGTAGGCTCCAGCTAACAATTTTAATTTTCAGTAATGTTACAGATTTGTGAACAAATATTTTTTGGTAGAACAATAAATATAATTTCACAACTAAACAACATAGAAGAAGTGTTGCTGACAAAACCCAGTGGCGTAACTCCTATGCGCTCTCATGCGGCGGTCCGCAGGGCCCCCAAATTCTAGGGTCCCCGGAGGGGCCCTACCCATAGGTTCCTCGATCTAGCAAGCCTGACCAAAAAGGACTTTGTTGATAAATAACACCATAATGTGTCTCTGAAATCAACTGTATGGCATATATCATATTACACTATAATGATTAAAGAGAAGGGGCCTTGTCGGCCCGACGGGGGCCCCCTCTCGGCCCGGGACCCCACCAAATTTGTCAAAAAAAATAAATAAAAATGGAGATAAAAAGAAAATTATATTCACAATTTGAAGTCTGTGAGTGCCATTTGCGGCCATCTAGACATGCCATAGTAATACACCTCAGCCCCACAAGGGCAACGGCATAGGGCCTAATGCGTGTCTGAAATCGACTGTAGGATATATCATATTCAGTGGCGGAATAAAGGGTGTGTCGGGGGGGAGATGCCGGCCTGGGCCCACTAAATTTGGAGATAAAAAGAAAATTCTATTCACAATTTTGTCTGCGAAGTGCCATTTCCGTCCATCTAAAGGTGCCATATTCATAAATTTTCTTACCTCAGCCCCAACCATGGTGGGTCTGAGGTGGTATAGACTCTCCAACTGTGAAAGTCACTCCCTGGCCTCAGTTTTCTGGATCCATATTATATTATTTATTTGTCATTAAAAAAAATTTAGAATAACAATGCACATCTAAAATCCTACGATGGAATTTGTGACCGGGACCCAAAAAGGGCCTTCAGTTTCGGAAATACACAGGGCCACCGGCACCATCATTACGCCAACGACAATACCAAAAAATTTATGGAAATTAAAATCCTATTTTGTGTTTTGCTAGGAAAAAATATTTAAGAATAAGGAAGGTCATGTAAACGTTGATGTTTACAAAAAAGGTTTACCTTTGTGCAATGTTTCTTGCTGGTTGTCATTATTGCTTGATAAGGATTTGATGATACCTAGCATATGAAGTTCTTGCTCTTTCTGTCTTTCATTACTTAGTTCCTTCTGCATGCTTGACATTGCAAGCCTTCTGCTAATTGAACTTGATGATGAATTTGAACAACTAGAGCTTGATGAGAATGTCTTTGTTGCTGGTTTTTTTGCCCTCTCTGCTGAGCTGTTAGTCAACTTTAGATTTTGTGGTTTGATTTGTGATTCTTCTTTATCTTTTTCTATATGAAACACAAGTAATGAATTCATTTGCAAGTTTTTCTAGGACATCATTTGATTAAAGACAATTAGTAATTGATATAATATTTTAATCTTTGTTTATACCTTTCTTTACATTTATACATTTTCTATTTTCATCTACAAGTTAACCCAATAGTTCCAATCCATACACTAAGTTTTATAGTGAGTCTGTTAGAGTTTAAAGTTGTTTTTGAATCGCTTGATGATTAAGATTATGGCTTGGTTGCATTGCAGTCTTATAGTTCAAGGTTCATTCTTGACATTAAGAACCTTGGTTTACAGAGCAACTGGTTCAGAAGTGATCAATTTCTCTGATGGCTCACTCTCGTTAAATATGGCACTGTTACTAAGCACCTCTAAAATGTCCTCTAATAATTATAAGGTATTTCTATAAGTGTGAACATACTGTTTTGTAAACGAATCGCTGCTTCTCTCTCCTGCGCCAGTCTGATATCTCTTTCTATAGTACTTTCCTTTAGAGTTAGTGTTTGTTTCTTTGTTTCTGTTGTTTCTTTGTCTAGTATAATTACATCTGGTAGGGCACCAAGAGAAAATGGTTCGTGAACTGCTGCCATAGAGCTTGATTCCAGTGATGCTGATGATTTCCTTAGCGAGGATGTCCTTAAGGAATCTGATTTTTTGTTTTGCATGAATTCTTGTTTAGGCTAAATGACATAAATTCCAAAATGCAATGTAAACATCAAAGTTTATTTTTTACAAATCATTCAAGCAATACTCAGAATAAATGCATAATATACATAATAATAAAGGTATTTGGTTGTGGTGATACCTTCCAGCTAATAACAAAACCCAACCCACCCCAAAACACAGAAAAAGAAAACAAAATTTAAAAATTCATGTTCAATTAAATAAAAAGATGAAGGAAGCTACCAGATAATGACTGAAAAGATGCAAACAAATTTTGGAGACAATATAAGTCTATGATTGTATTCAAAACTTTTGCTCAGTCCTATCTGGGTAAGCCATGTTGTTGATCGCCTCCGTGTTTATTTGCCAAATAAATATTATGAAACTGTGAAATTTTTGTGTTCTGAAAGTCAACCATTGATGCTGTACATTTTCTATCATTTTTACAATTCTCCATAAACAACTATACCGTAAAACCTTGAATGGAAGCCCAATGTGCTTAATCTCCCCTTTTAGTTTGCAAGAGTAGCCTGGAAAAGACGCCCCTCTCGAATTGAAGCCCTCTCTTTAGTGTGCAAAGTAGCCTCTAAAAGAAGCCAATGGGCTTCTTTAAAAAAAAATATGGGCTTTTTTGTTATTATTATTGTGTTTATGACTGATATTATTATTGATCTATTTGTTTATAATGTGTTTACGGTTCTACGATTATAACATCTTGTTCTTATTCCTGCACTGTTATTGATCTATATGTTAATATTGTGTTTATAGTGCTACGCAGCAAATGAGATGATCCACCCACATCACTGTTGTTTTTCAGTATTTTGCCTTTTAGCAACACACACACACATGTGCATTATTTTGTAAATAGGACATTTTAATTAACATTTGTTTTAAGCTGCAATTTTTGTATTTTTTTTATTATTATTAATAAACATTCTTATTTTTAAGTTCACTTTTGACAATGAATGATTTTGTAATTTACATCAGAGAGCCACTTGACAGTGATTTAGTTCATTTTTTTGGTAATCCTGTCTGGCTAACTGAGTTATTTTTCATTATTACTTAGTTTTATTGTTCTTTAGACCAAATAAATGAAATGAAACAAGACTTACTGTACCTCTTCAAATATATTCTGGGATTGGATTGCAGCTTCATCATTGCTTGATTGTGTCTGCCCCCTCAAGAGCTTCTGATATTCCCTGTAGCTTGAATATGGGGTAGTTTTAATGCGACTCCACTGCTCTTCACTCCCAGAAAACCTCTGTACTCGTACTTCTGGCATTCCATTACAGCCCAAGCCAAGTCCATGTATAATTATACGCGAGGTGTCATCAACTATCGGCTTTGCCCGATCAGTAGATGATGGGGAGCATTCTTGTGGCACATTGTATTTCACATCCATCATACTTCTCTCTCGTAGCACAACTTCTTCACGCTCTCTCTGTTCTCGAACCTCACGCTCTACTACAGATTCATGTGCTTTAATAACCTCTTGTTCCTTTTCTAGTTCTTCTGCAATGCTTTGTCGCTTTTCTTTCTCCTGTGGAGAGGGTTTTTTCAATCTTGCTGAACAATTTCTGGAGAATTCTTCTTCACGTTCTCGCTGGAATCGAATTTCCCGTTCAACAATGGTTTCGGATCTTAGCTTTTCTTCCGTAGTTGTATGTGTCACATCATAGCTCATGAAAGTATCTCCAGAGTCCACTATATCCTCAAAGTCTGTCACCATTAGGTTTGAGACATTTTTCTCAATGATCTTTACCTCCATGTCATCTACATTGATGTCTGCTAATATTTTTTCCCTCATCTTATGTTCATTTTTCTTTGGAGAATCATTTTTCCTTAAACTTAGTCTGCTTTGATATGCTGCTAAATTCTTTGCCTCTCCTGATGGTGTTGTTTGTCTTCTTTTAAGCCCTTCAGAACTCTGCTTAGAAATTCTATGTTCAAATAGATTTCTTGCAGTTTTCATACTTATTTTTGTATTCTCAACATCTTTGTCTTTGCTGTCATCAGCTTGAACACTGAGTTGTGAAATGTTCTCCATTGTTTTATTTTTATCTGTAGGATATGTTTGCTTATTTGGTAATGACTTTCCAACAACCTTCACTTTACCCGTTTTATCATTAACAGGACAAACTGTTTCTTGTAAAGATTTCTTCTTTAAAGAATTACTGTTAAAATTACCTGTGTGGTTAGATCCATTTGTACATTCTTTATTCAGATTTAAAAGTTCCATTCTTTCTTGAACACTTATTGGTTTCACTTGACTACCTTCTTTGTGAATCTCCTGTTTGTTATCGTTTAGGAGTTGTAATGTTTTATCATCTGTAGATGTAATTTGAGGTTCACACGGATTTGTATGTGGTAAAATGCTCTCTTCTTTTCTGACTTTTAACACATTTTTAGCCATTAATTTGTTTTCTATTGCTTCTGCAGGCAAGGCACTATCATCCTCATCTAACCATCTAGCTTCTTTTGGTTTCTTTATCCTCATTGAACCAATTAGCTGTCTTCGTTCCCATTCATATTCATACAGTGGCTTTCCATTTTCATCCACTTCACAGTTCTCATCATCTGGAATGTTGATTCCAAAATAAAGTTGTTTCATAAACCGAGAGGATTTTTTCTTTGCAGCAAGAGCGTGTGCTTTCTTCAATTCCTCTATTTCAGACTCTGTTACTGATCGATTCCTCAAGATAAATTCTTTGCCCTTAGTTTCGTCTAACACCAATATATCAGAGTCAGTAGATGCTCTCACTCTTTCTGAGCTCTGAGTTGGAGTTGAAGAATTTGCTGAATATTGATGTGGCCTGGGAAAACTTGCATTTAGCTTAGGGAGTACATTTACCGAAGGTAACTTTTTTGAGACAGGCAGTTGCACTATAGCCAGTGTGTTTGCATGTTTTTGCTCAAAATTAGGTGACTGGTCAAGTATTGAATCATTTCCAAAAAAGCTTTTACGTTTTTCATCATTTTCTAATCGACGTAGCTCAGACTCCCCTTGTTTAGCTATACTTGGTCTTTTGAGTGGGGTACCATCTGATTCTCCTACATCCAAATCTAGACTTGATGGTGAGAGTGGTGATAAAGGTGTTTCATAACCAGATGTTTCAGTATTTGTTAGAGACATTTCCATTTCTAAAAGATGCATATTATTGGAATTATTACTATCTGTCTTAGTATCAAGCCCATCGCAGCATGCCCTGTTACTCAACACATCACCATAACTACTCCCAAGCCCACTTTCTGATGTTGATGACAACTTCATTCCTTGTTCAGTTGCAATATGTTCATTTTCAATATCCTCTGTTCTCAGAGCATCAGACAGACTATCACAGTATTGCTGAACTAAATCATCTTTACTTAACTGTCCTCCTAAGTGATTCTTCAAAGAAAAATTAGATGACTCTGCCATTAAATCAAAGTCAATTAAAGTGTTTGCATTTTGGGCATTGTAATTTGTTGGTTGTAGTGCCTCTTGCTTGTTTGGTAGTACACATTTAGGGACAAACTGTGATGTTTCAACCTCTGCACCTAGTATTATGATATTACTCTGCTCATCAGTCATATTTTCAGTTACTCTGGCAACCTTAGAATCTGTTTCTTTGCTGCAATGTTCAGCTTTTTCTTTGCTGGATGGGGAGTCAATGCTATCCTGAAAGAATGAACAATAAAAAAAAAAAAAAAACAAATGTAACTTGAAATAAATTTATATTAAATGTGGCCCTAAGAACAACAGAAGCAGATCCAGGGGTTGGCAAAAGGGGTGCCACCCCTTGCAGCAACCAAAAAATCTCTATGCAAATTTGAAATCATTTAGATAAAAGATCAAAATGGAAACTCCCAGAATAGTGGGAAAACCCCAAGATCCCTCACACCATACAGTAAGCTCTAGCACCCTTGCAGCAGGCCCCAACAAATGCAGATCCTGAGTACAGAAGTACATTGATTAACTATTTACATAGAACCCCTAATTAGGGGATACCTTTGGGACCAATAAAGTGTCTCTTTTAGTAGTAGTGCCCTCTGAAACATCCCTATACACTAAACCAACCATTTGTCCCTTATACAGTAGGGATTTTGGCATATAAACAATCACAGATTTTTCTTAAATTATATTTTAATTGACCAAAGAAGAATTTACAATAGAAATATAACTAATTTGAAACAATAAATTAGTCAACAGAAATGCATTTTAACCAACAAATGCTGCAAGTAAGACAAAATTTGCTGTTATAGCTACTTGTCTAATAACTGGTAACTCCATTTTAGGATTTGTCAATGTACCTGATCATCAAATATATAAAACATGTCAATATATAATAAGTAAATAATAAGTATAAAATATAATTTGGACATGTTCTTATTAAACATTAATTCGGCTCATCCTATAATTTACTACTACCAAATTAAGCAGTGTACAGTAGAATTTTTTGGACATCACAGACAACACACATACTGTATACACATCTGTCAACCCCCGCACTGACCAAAAACATACCGTACAACCAAAGCATTATACACAAGAGGCATTTGTTCATTGGATTTATATTTACGATAATTGCACAAAAGAACTATCCGAACACATCTGGAATAGAAATTATCATTGAGAACCCATCAAAATTGCTATCAAAAAAGATGAGGCCATATCTCATACTCAAATACTGATGTACAAACCATGTCAGTGATTTGTTTTGAACTACATGAGGATAATTTTTTTGCCTCAAACATTTTCCGCTGTAGGGGGGGGAAGCTTTTAATGGGGAATTAGCCCCTAGATATGCCACTGCCACTGGTCACTATTAAGTAGGTTTACTACCAATAAGGGCCAGAATTCAGAAACGTATGATCATCCTACAGACCTCAAAAAAACTCAGGACTGTTCTTCCAAAGTGACGAGATGTTTTGGCACATACCAAAATGCTGTCAGACAATTGGCCAAATGGACTTTTGCCGATACGATATTTCGCCAACATGCTCTTCAATAATAGGACATCTTGCAGACAAGACATTTCATCAACAGCCAATTTGTTGACAGCGAATTCGCCGATGGCTGTCTTTTTTTTAACCGACAAAAAGGTATTTCTCTGACAGGAAGTTTTACTGACAGCGAGTTTCTCCAACAATAAAATTAATGCAAACATTGTGAACATCATTGAAGTTTGTTTCACAAAGACTAGAAATTTAATGCTGTGTGGTGGCTTGTTGAATGTCGATGAACACATTCGATGATGTTTACAGAGAAACAGAGTCCACAAAAAAAAAAAAAAAAAAATCGAAAAAAATTTTAAACCAGAACAATTTCTTTTAATTTATTTTACAGTATATTTATATAATGGTTCATGGTTCATTGTATATACTACGTCATTTTATTATTGGTAAAACTAATTAGGTGAATTTTTTTTAATTATTCATTTAATGTCAGATTTATACATAACCTTATAGTTGCCATAATTTGTTGGCAACAATTACTTTCATTGGTCTTGCACACACAACGATAATTTTATGTTTTGATTTTAATTAAGTACCAGTATGTACTATTTTTGTTCATTATGACTGGTAAGGAACAACCTTCAAAAAGACCATAAGCACTGTTTCAGTGTTTCTACTGTAAATTCCTGGGTTTCGCAAAGTCTTTGCGGCAAACGTTATATATGAGAATTGATGTCTGCCAATATCAATGATTTTACAAAGTTTCCACTTAGGGTGCGTTTGGGTGAGTTTTCGTGGAGTCTAACACGGGATAAATCTGGAAAGGGTCATTTCCAGTTCTAGCCCAAACGGGTGTTAAACGCAGACCGCCTGCTGATATCCGCTGATAATCCAACGCTGCAAATTGCAGTGTTTTTGGAGGAGCAAAAGCAGCATGCGTTAGCAGCAGGGAGCATTTTTAAACTACAATTGCCAAACGAATGAATATTTATTGTTTATACGCCCATTTGCATAATACCTTAGGTTTTACGTCCGAAGTTTTTCGAAACCGAGTTCTGCTCGAACCGGTAGACCACCCGCGGATACAATACTGGTAAGAACCTTATGTAACTTTTTTCTGTTCTCGCTCGAACACACCCTTACTGTATTCACCCATTCACACATTCCAGAGAAAACATTATGATGATGCATATAAATTAATATTACATTTAATTCAATACTATTATCCAAAATTTCATTCATAAAATTGAAGAGCAAACCAATGGTTTCATGCCTAACAAAAAAAGAAAAGAAAAAAAAAACCTACTAGAAAAACATGTTTAAGAAAATTCAACACTTGTAAACAGGGTCTAGAACCAATGGTTTCATTCCTAACAAATAACAAAAATGTAAGCAAAAAAACCTACCATAAAAACATGTTTAACTTTATAAAATACTTGTTCATATGCAAACTGAACACGACTAGCTCTGCAACCCACAATAGACGGTTACACAATGTTTAAGTATATTCCCATACCTTTCACTATGAAATCTATTTACAATTCATTGCATCCCACAATAAAAGAAACAAATTTGCCAATTTTCTGCCTGACAATTCTTCTCCGGATGACTGCCTCAATTAAGATGAATCAGAATTGAAAATCCCTCAACAGGAAATGAGAACATAGAACTTCATTGTCAAAATTTATGGTTTAAATTATGATGATAAATATTCCCATCACACAATCTAAATAAATCACCCAATGTCACTCTGAATCTCTTTACAATTAAAGCTTGATTATTCCCATAATTTTTTTTATGTATCAGTTCTCAGTAGCATTTTGAGAAAACAAAATATATTTTCTCTGTATTGGACTTGAAATTACTACTGTAGAAGCTACTCTCTACTGTATGGCACTTCCTGAGGAGTCTTCATAGTCTGTTCATTCCTAATTATTTACATTTCCTATTTATTTTACCTTTTGAACAAAAGCAGTACAGTATACAGTAGAGGTATACCACAAAATGTCCCCTAATTAGGAGTGTCCCTGAATGGGTACCCCTATTCTGGTAACACAAACCAAAAACATGATATTGCCCTCTTAATAATAATAATAATATGCAGAAATTTATAATGCGCCAATTCAAAAAACATTATCAAAGGCGTTGTGAACAATTAACCCAATTAAAGCGATTTTGTAAACAAAAAAGTTTTCAAATTAGTTTTAAATGAGTTTAAATTTGAAGACTGTCAAACAGAAAAAGGTAATAGATTCCAAAGATAAGGTGCCTGAACAGAAAGAGAGCGTTGTTCATATGTTTTTAGCTTTCTCCTTTTTGAAGGGGCTTGAAGAAGAAATTTATCGGAAGAATGAAGTGCACGAGTTGGAGAGTATGGTGTAAGAAAATGAAGCAAATATATGATGGTTGTTTAAAAAAGAGTGATTTAAAAACAAGCAAAAGAATCTTGAATGTTTTCCGTTGTTTAATGCTAAGCCAATGAAGGTCTTTAAGAATGGGAGTAATGTGTTTTTACGTGGAGTAAGTGAACATATCCTGGCAGCTGAATTTTGTACTTTCTGTAAACGATGAGTAACAAAATCAGGCAAACCGACAAGCAATGAATTACAATAATCTAACTTTAGTGGAAATAAAAGCTTGAACTAAAGTTTCAGTGAACTTGGAACTAAAGTACTTACGAATTCTCCAGATGTTATTTACAAACAGAGGAGACTGTTGGTATGTTTTCATACAATGATGACATAGATTCTTTATCATTTCATTTTAATTGGCCTATGAATGAGTTACAGTAAACTCACTTACAACTAATACAGTAATCTGCAATGCAAGTTGTACAGTTTAAGATTAAGATCCAATGTTTTATTTTATTTTATAGTATTCAAGTGCAATGTTTTGTTTTATTTCGTAGTATTTATGATTTCACAATTTTAATTTGATTTTTGACCGAATAATTTGGTAAAAAAAAAAAGAAGAAAAAAAGTTGTTCTACATTTATGTGTATGGAAAATGAGACTTTTTATACCTTGTTTTAACAAACTTATTTTTTAAAAGATTGTCAGAGGAGGCCAGGAAAAAAAATTGTATTCTTTTGACAAAAGCATCTAGGTAGAGAAAATAAAAATAACATTTTATTGATGGATAAAAAAATGTGTATGCAAGTTAAAAAGGTAAAAAGGGTGCCCCTTTTGCTTTCACCTGAGATTTTTTTTTTCTAAAATAAACATTTTTTTCTGGGTGACAAGTGCTCTAACTAGTTGTAAACATAAATTATATTTTTATTTGCATTCATTATAAGCTTCGCAAAACAAAGCATATACAGTAATGTGTTGTATTATCTACAATTCTTGACATGCATGTATGGACACATAAACATTATTAAACTACAGCGGCCACTCCATAAAAATTCACTTTACTGCCCAGTGCCTGAATACTAAACAATATGCAGGCTTTTTATCTTAGTTCTAATATTCTTGTTTAGTTTGTAGTTTATTTGTAATGTGTATTATATGGTTTACGCTCAAGCGGGCTCTCCACCTGTGGAGTGAGTGCCTACCCACTACCTTTTAGTGTACTGTATTACTCATACATTCACATACGAAAGCCGCAATGGCCCAGTTGGTTAATGTATCTGCATAGACAGCAGAAGGTCACAGGTTCGAATCCCGGTCGAGGACATTCATATAGGCATAATTTAATTTGATTTTTATAGTGTCTTTCAATTTT